AGCATGGGGGTGAGTAGAAAATGAAGGCTAATCATGTTTTGGGTGTACTATTCCTATAAGTTCGTGCTTAAAAGCAGTAATGCCGGTTTAGAGCCTCTATAAAGACCTTGGCCATAATAATAATAAAGTCAATTATATATACCTTATCTGATCTCTTTGGTTGAACCTTGCGATTTCCCTTAATGCCGAATAGTATAGTCTTCCAAAATAAAAGAAAATCTGTCTATTTTTCTTAATTAAATAATAAATACCGTACCAGAAGGACTTGATAAGTGGGCGGCTCCAGAATAGATAAACAAGTGTTTCAGGATTATTACAGCAGAAGCTGCAAGTGACATCAATGTTTTTTAAAGAGTTTCTGGATAAAGACTTTGGTAGGAGCGCCGATTGTTTACATTCTGACTGCTCTAACTAGGGAGTACCAATATGGCGGCCGGTGGTTTCACTCCAGCCTGTACTAGCAACAGATCAGCAGTCAGTAACCCAGGGAATAACAGAGCTCAGTGATTGGGCGCCTAGTTCAGCAATGAATGAATGAATAAATGAACGAGTGAGTGAGCGTGAACGCGGCCCTCAGCTTTACCGCCGTGAGGTGCTTCTCTCAGCATCCAGCAGGTGTCGCCATGTTGAACTCTATCACTATGGATCCTGGTGTCCAGTTGTGGTGAAGCGGTTCACCAGGCTCTGGATTCACCATCTCTACTCACCTTCCATCGCCGCTTTCAGGGTCTGGCGGCACCGACTGGACCTCTGGATGGATCCAGGATCAGAACCGGACCTCCAGAACCACTCAGGCTTCAACGAGCTGTTTCCGCTTAGTTCCACCGGAAGCGGAAGTTGGTTTCTTTTTTTTTTTCTTTTTTTTTCTTTTTTTTATGCTTTATTGGCAATTCCATGTAACATTACAGAATAAATCAAACATCAAACACAGATATACAACATTTGGTGACATTATAACTTTAAGAAAAACGAGACATAGAAGGTAAGAAATAAATAAAATAAAACAAGGGAAACAAACAAATAAATAAATAAAATAAACAAATAAATAAAATAAACATATAATAGTAATAGCTAGGGGTTTACTTTGAGTTTACGGTAATTTACAAAAGTGTATAATTTTATACCATTTTTCTTCTTCATAAATTTATGTGATTGAAAATACAAACAAAGTTCTTTAAGAAAAACGTTGAAGTTTGGCTTAGTCCTCATGTATTTGTTTTTGTGAATGTAAAATTTCCCCATCATGAGTAACACATTAAAGGCTAGGTCCTGCAGCTTATCTGGCATTTCTA